ATCTTGAATTGATCAAAAACAACTTCAAATAACAAATCCGTGATGATAATCAAGACCAAATTAGCCAACCAATAAGATTCTTCAACTTTTTTCAAATCAATGTTCTCCAAAGTTATGAATTTTTTGGAATCAGATTTGTTTCCTTGCTTATCCAGATCATGCATCGTTCCTTTACTTTTGCTATCTTCAATTGATAATCTAATCGTTGAAATTCAATCAAAAGAGCTAATTTCGACCACCCAACGGATTCGATTCCAATCGAGATTGATCGAGAGGAGACTTTGGTCGTCTCACGTATCCAGGAATCAACCGTTCGCTATGAAGTTAAAAGACTATACATCAACCCAGAGGTCTCGATGGATTTGAGGAAAGAGAAATAGCTTCCAATCACTCACATTTTGAATTAGCAATGCAATCCGTGAATCAAGATACCTGATATCTTTAACCCAAAGAAATTTCTCCTTGGACTGAGATGAGATTCTAGGTTTCAAGTTTTGTAGTGTGATTTGAGCTGAATCAGATCGGAATGTCAAACTGAGAGTTTACTCAGCATTTGGGATGACAACATGACTATTAGGTCGCCCAAAAAATCAGAGCATGCCGTTGCCTCACATGCAGAGCGAATTCCGGCCAAGAAATCCAATAAGTCTTTGAGCACACGACTTGGTACACACTCCTTGCCACAAAGTTGGTGTTTGACGCACTTGCCGCAAAGTTGTGGGTCTTTGCAATTAATTTGAAATCAGAGAGAATCGAATCGTAGGGATCCCAAAGCCAAACCTTTAAATGACAAGATAACAAATAGGAACAAGAGTCAGTTCAAATGTCACATTCTGAGTCCCAGCGATTTGAAAGCTTTGTACTCACTGAACAGGGTCCTGAGGACAAATTATTGAATTTAAAACAGTCCAATATCCTAAATACCATTGAACTGAGCTTGGATATTATAGAAATTTGACACGTTGATTGGAATTGAGTCGGCATGGCTGATCTTCATCATAACTATTCAAATTTTCTTGTCACCAATCTAAATTATTTGTAAGATACATAAAACAAGAGTGGAAGGATTAGTTATGAATGAAAAAAATCTCGCGAAAGGTGTCAAGGCATGTTTATTTACTCACTCAAAACAATACAATACATTCTTGATCTCGGTATTATTTATGGCCGCCATCAAGTAAAGCTGGGTAACCAAGTCCCTATATCCATTTCTGATTGTCAAAAGCAAGTGCATGTATGTGATGCGCCTATGTAGGATATGGATTTGAATGAGATGAGAAGAATGGGTGTTCTGAGTGTTTCCCTGACTGATTCACAATTTCAAGCAAGACCAAGACCTGCTCTTGAGCCACTGATTGAGAGCCTGCGTTGTTTGATTCCAGCACTACTTGCTGCCATGTTTTAGCTGAGAGGATTGAGAATGAGTTGAGTGATAGTGAATTGATTATGAGGAGATTTCATCGACTACGCATCTGACCATTATCAAGGATGGAAAAGATGGAAAGTTGTTAATGGTATGTTTTGGAATTTCTTTGTTGCAAGTTGGTCCCAGAGATGTATGCACAAATTGAAAAAGGAAACGATATCAGCACACCTATTAAACCAATCCTCCTTGGTTTGAGATTGAAGAATACAGGCAGCTCACATTCATGAAATGGATGCAAAAGATCTACAGTCGTTTTCAAACGTACTGTTTAGATGCCAGGATAGGAGTCTTCGATTGGTCGAGTTAATCTGAGATGATGGCCTCTTGGTTTCAGTCTCCACCGAGCTGAATTTAGGTCTTGGATGATTTGTGTGATTATGAGGGATATCCGGATACGGATGATGTGATGAATGGGGATCACAACGGTTATGTTTTTGGAGGAAAGGAGTAGCAATGTCGCGGGTAAATGATATGCTTGAAAAGCATGGTGAATGCAAATTAATAGACAAAGATAGGTTTCTGACCAAGGACAATACTCGAAGATCACGCTAATGGTGGATTTGTTTGAGTTTTGTAAGCGAACCGTCTTTGGGATTAAATGTTATGATTTTGCCTCAACCATCATCAAAGCCTTGACCAGTTTCTTCACGGCTGGGTCTGAATCATGCAGGAATTCACAGTTGTGGAAAAGATGCCACGCCTTGACCCCTGAAATGTAAGATTTGATTGTTGACGATTTCACCAATTCATCATCTTTAGCTAACTCCTCCCCCTTTCTCGACATCCATACCACAAATTGCATCACTACGTCTCTTGATATTGGTAACAGCCAACCCTTTATCCACCTTCTTTACCACCGCAAACCGCATTAATTTTACAATAGCTGAATTATAGTGCTTAATTAACGTGCCATCTTGCCACGCTCCCCTCAGGTAGTGTTTCTGTACTTCATCACTCCCCGACCTATCCACTCCTTACGCGTCGCTTTTGAAACTTCCAAAGGATTTCGTGGATTTCTTTAATGCATTGTCCGACTTCTTGATCAATTCAATCAAGACACTCGCGTTAGGATTTTTCCTCCTGGGCATCGATTCTCTGTTTGGTGAGGATAGGAATAGGGACTTGGGATACTAGAGGGGTGAGGTCAGGAGGTATTTCAATCAGGACTCCATCACCCCAGTTTCTCACCCCGAATACCCCTCTGGAAAGGTCATCTGCCAGGTTGTTCTTCGATGTAACACGTCTCTGTTTGATGTTACAACCTAAAGCGGTCAGTAACCTTTGAATTTGCTTCCATTCTTTGTTTACCCTGACGTCCCTTGACTTACGGTTTTTGATTGCATTCTCTGTAGTCGTATTGTCCGTTTCAACCCAGAACATTTTACCCCTTACCGGGATCGACTTCGCGAGAACTAGTAGTCCCAAACGTATGGTGACCGTTTCCGCCCATGCTATGTTACGTTTCCCCTTAGTCAACCCCTTCACTAACCATTCCTTATCCCATTTGAAACAGGCCCATCTACGATCGATCAGTACGCCAATCCTATGGGATTGTGTCACCTTATTAGGATCTTCCAACGGCTTTCCTTGACCAGAGAATCATTGACTTACCCAAAGGACGATGAGGCATCTCCGACCCATCCAACCTCTTCTGGGTCAGGGCAAGTTACCAATCTGCGAGACTCAAATGTCCTCAGACACTTGTCCCACTCCTTCAGGTCCGCCACGACATCTTCTGGGGCATGTATTTTCGCGTCTAGGTTCTGCCAGGACTTCAACCACCTGTAGATCGAACACTGGAACGTCGCCATATGTGGGACTATGCACACTATGTGGTTCAAGCGTCCGGCGAACCTTTTGACTTGAGTGAATTTCCAGGAATTCTTCTTGTTCAGGTAAGCTTTAACTTGATCTTTCCGTTCCTGCAGTTTCTCCTTGGGTAATCTGACCGTGTGGTCCTTCCCATTCCAAATGAACCCCAGGAACTTCTGTTCCTCCGCAAAATCACTGTTTTCAGGCGGTTCGTTTTCACTCCCATACCGTTGCTTAGGTGAGTCACCTCCTCCAATGTCACGTTGTCACGAGGTCTCCTCAGTATGAGGTTATCATCAACCCATTGAAAATCATAGGAATGTTCAGTATACCCATCATGATCTTCTTCCACGCCTCTGCCGGAGCCCCAAACACTCCGCAGCTAGCGACCCCTCCGAACCCAACAGCCAGGTTGATCCAAATCCTTCCCTCGAAATCCTTGATACATAGATACCTTCTCTGCGAAGGGTGATTGTGGAGTTGGCGGTACACCTTCTCCCAGTCAAAAAGTGCTGCTTCCCACTCCTCTTGGTTTTCCGCGAAGAATCTCGCCACCATCTTGAAATCATCCCAATTGGTACTGTAGTTTCTTTTGTTGACAAAAGAATTTACTGACGGAATAGTAGGTTCTCCTTCTTTTGATATTGATTGCGTCACTTTGTTCGGGATGGCCTTCGCATTCCGTTTCCTCGATCTCTTCTTCTTTGGGTGCGACAGGTCATTGATCAGCCTTACTGACCCGTCCCCGTTAATGGCGCTCCCCATGGGGTTTGTTCTGAAGAAGCCGAACCGTTCATAAACCTGCTCGTGCAAACGGGCCGACCATCCTTCCTGCTCTTGCCTCTTTCTCGATGGTGTTGATAACTTTTTCCTTCACGTCTAGAGCAGATCGATGGTTGTCAGGTGTATACCACCTCTTGCCTTCGATTTCGTGTTGGGGTATTCCAAGGCAGAAACCCTCCTGGAAGCCTTCCGTGATATATTGAACATCATCACCCAGTCCCCCCTCTCTCATCAACAACTCCCATTCAGCTACATTCATTGCCGTTTCTACCGGGGCTAACCAGAAATTGTCAGTTTTTACTTTGTACAATACTCTCTGGTTCAAGGGGAGAATGCCAAGTAATTTCTTTTTCCCTTGTTTCTCCAGGTCTTCTGTAGATGAGGAGCTCTCCAAGTCACTTCCCGGTCTCTCCTCATCCAATTCATTGACGGAATGGTCGCTCAAATACGGTGTCTCTGTCTTCCGTTCAAGCAACATCGGCACGCAAAAATTTTGGGTGTTACTCTCACTGGCAACGCTGCTAGTCATTACAAACAACACAAAGCAATTGGAAAACCGGAACGAAAACAAAAAGGAAGATAAAACATTTCATTTTTTCAATTCTCACTTCTCCCTCCCTAGCAAGTTTTACTTCTCAAGTACTACATTTGTGAAGAGAAACAAAGAACAACCCCGTACCCTCCGAGACCCCAAACAATAGCGACACCAGCCCAGTCACCGCAGAATCCCCCAAACCATGACCGACCACACCGAGTAAAAGGAGAAAATGTCCACAAACATCACAGGATGATCAGCTGGCATCCCAAGAGCTACGTAAGAACCGTCGAACTTACCGCTCAGGAGCCTTGTTCCCCTTCCCAGCCTTCTTCCCACCTTTACCTGAACCCAATGCCACACTACTAGCGTGTTGTTGGCCTAGGGCCACCCATTCCTTCCCCACATTCCCATCACGTGTCTGGAATTGACTACCTGTCTGTGCCGCTTGACGGTAAGTTCTTTGGATACCTGATGAGTGACCTCGATTACCGCCCCGCTTCTTCTTGTTTGTATTGGCACCCTTCGAACCTCCTTGTTCCTGTGAGTCATCTGACTGGAACTTGGATCTCTCCTTAGGATGGGCCGTCACTTCCACTTCTTGACCAGTCACGAAGTCAAAGCCAAACTTTGGCTGACCTACAGCGTAAGGATTTCCTTTACATTTCAAATCACCAGCTGTGTGGGCGTCCCATCTCGCATCTCTTTCTGCTTCCTCCTGGAGACAATCTGGTAACACTACATCTTCATCTTCACTCCTCCTCTTTCTCTTCTTTGACAATGATGGTGTTCTAATTCTAAACGTCACTGCTCTCACTGCTAGATGATACCTAAGAGCCACCATCCAGCACTTATGCTTCCTAGATAGGTTGCTTACAATCTCTTTGTGCAACGTGATATATTTCGAGTATTCGGGGTACTTGTATCTCTCCGACGCATAACGGAATTCAAGATCGCAGGCCAAGATAAAGTCACCGTAAGTCATCTGTTGCTCCAATTCTTCTCAAGACTGAAGGTGTTTGTCCCAAGTGACTTTCCCCGCTTTTGTTTTGCGGGTGGTCTTGTACAGGTCAATGTATGACGCGTCGAATACGGTAAGGGGAACATAGTACTTCATTCGCCGGAAGTTCTTTTCCCATTGTACAGGGAGATCTGGGAGGTCGAAGCCAGACAAGGGTTTAAACACAAAGCGGGGTTTAGAGTTTTTATTGGCCTTGTTGCTTGAGGTGTCTGAGTCAGACGCTGAAACCGACAAGGAGTCGTCTGAGTCTGAAACGGCTAGAGATGGTGCCGGTGATTTCGGATCACTCGAGGAAGAGGAACCCGACGAGGAAGAAGAGCCACTATCTGAGGATGAGGGTGAGTGCTTCCGTTTCTTGCTTGTCTTCTTCTTCTTGCTCTTCTCGGGCTTCTTTTTCTTCTTCCTCTCCTTCTCTCCCTTTCCTCCTCTCTCTTTATTCTCCTTCTCCATCGTCTTCTTAGCTTTCTCCAGCTCCAGCTGACATGCATCTAGCTCTTTCCTCAGGTTACGGACTGTCGACATGTCTTCCGACTCGACTGTGTCCGCCAGACGTTCCGTTAGGGACCGCTGGTCCGGTTGCTGTCTAGCATCCCCGCGCTTTCTCTTTGCCTTTGAAGTGGACGGAATCACTGCGGGAACATAGAAGATTTCCTGTCAGTGGATGATCTCTACTCCCCCTTAACAGCTACACGACTGCCAGTGTCCATACACTTTGGAGCTGACCCGTCTTTCAAGCGACAACAGATATCACTGGAGCTTAGAAAAATTGAACAGGATTTCCACGATGGGGGCCTGGGTGTCATATAACCCTTCAGGTATCTCTTCCAGGAGCGGTAAACCGCTACACACAATAAAGAGGACCCTCCCAACTGAACCAGGTACGGAAAGGCTTAATTTGATCTTCTTCTATCAAGTTCCTTAACATCCGTGCCTTATCCTTCTTGCCCCTCAATCCTCTCTCATCCTCCGACGACTCTGATGATGATTGCTTCTTTGCCTTCCCTTTCGACGCCTTCTTCTTGGGTTTTCTTCGATGTCTTGATCTTCTTAAGGATAGGCTTCACATCTTCTGAGTCTGCGTTTTCAGGTGACGATTTGATTCCACTCGCTGAACCGTCAGAGACCTGCTCATCATCCACCTCACCTCCGGCGTTTGGAGCATCCGCCATCCGATCTCCTTGCGCATCACCATGCACCTCATCCTTTCCCTCAACGTTCTCTCGTTCTAACTCGCCTCCCGACGGACCTGTCCCAATTGAGTTCTGATTCTGAGTCATCGACGGTAAGTTCCCGGAAGGAGGGATCCTTGACTCTGCACCCATACACCTTTTCTCTGCTTGCTCTAGTAGTCTCGCCTCCTGAGCCTTCTTTCTTTCCTCTGCTTCTCGTATAGCTTGGATCATATGATTCGATTTAAATTTATTCAAGAAAGTTTTTGTCTTTGGTTGTCTCCACATCCAAATCGAGTGAGTTTGTCAGGTATTGCCCTAGTATACGGTTAAGAAGGATGGGATACCCTCACACCTTGGATATTGTGAGAAGAGATTTTCCCTTGAAGAATGATTTTTAGAATTCGACGCTAAACTGAGGAGAATGATAATGATGTGAAAAAAAAAATTTAATGATTATGTGAGACGATGATCTATATATAGGAGTATTTAAATAGCTCTCGCTATATTTTGAGAAAAAAGGCTATGAGCTCAAGCAGGGAGAGATCCTTGGGATCTCCAACGTGTGGGATAGGGATGTGAGAAGTGTGGAGTAGAGAGGAAAAACTCTGCGCTTCTCTCTCCACATCTCAATTCACATCTAATTCGTGACAGGTTTGTATCACCTGTCTCTCTTAGTGTGAAACTCTACCTATCCGCACCCGTTGCTCACACTACCCGTGAGTAATGGAATTATGTGTACCGCCGCGCGCTTCAGGGAACACTGCCAATATATCCCGATGTATATATCGATGACAAGGTTACTTTGAAGATATAATCAGATGACTTTACCTGATTGTACGCTTGGATCAGATGAGTTTGCCTGATCCAAACCTCCTTTCTCATTCCCACACATCTATTTGGTTGTGGAGGACACAAAGAAACGGACACAAAGAAACCACCATCGATCATAACTTCGATAATTCGAAAATAGTTACAATTCCTCCCTCTATTCGAATTCGAGTGTGAGATTAAGAGTCTCCTTGCAGAATGGGTCAAGGCCCATCGCACTCCGGAGCCCCTCCAGCTTGAGCGGCCTCAATTGATCAAGAGTTGCATTTATCAAACCGCTCCAATGATACCATTTCCAAAGAGATTGGCCTTTTCCCCTCACCCTCTCCTTCAACTTCATCAGCTCCATCACGTATTATTTCACCCGAAACCCCCTTTGAAATTTCTTTATCATTGCAACATTCAAGTGAACACTTAGAACCATCAGAGCCAATGTCCGACTCATACTCACAAATGTCCGCATCAAACTCTGAACGGTCTCAATCTGATCAATCTGAGCACAACGGCAAAGCGGCCAGACCAATGGTGAAGGATACGGCGGTCAAAATTTACTCACAACCACAATTACGATTGCCCGTCAATAAATCACAATTTGCCACCTTCATCGACCACGATTGCGTCATAGATGAACCAGGCTACCCCATTTATCCCAATGGGTAAACAGTATTCGTCAAGCAGGCTGAAGATCAAATAACAAACTTTCGACATGTCGCATGGTCCCATACTATGAAACCCGAGCCATCAACCAATGATAAGTGGATAATAAGACGGTACTACTGTATTGGAGTTATGACATGCTCCAATCCAGACTGTGAGCTTCAAGCTACACCGGCCACCAACCCCAAGAAGCTTGCCAAAAGTGTAGATTCGTAAGCTCTTATCTCAATTAAACTTAATAAGTGTATGCATAACCTTCTAATCATGATTCTCTAAACAAACAGGCCATGTACTATATCTGGATGTGATGGTCATCAAATACACATTGGATGTCATGCTCGTTGTCGAATTGATCAGGAAGTTGATGAGAAGGACCCCGACTCTACTGCTACTTGGTCATTATTGCGTCATCAAGGAATCCACCATCATCCATGGCCAGACTCGAAGAAAGCGGACCCTATCTCAAAAGAAAAGCTGAAAGATAGAATTATTCAAGACCCAAAGACAGGACCTACGTCTTTGAAGGTATGACCTTTTCCAATTTATGTCATTATCTCTTTTCATCAATCAAATTAATGAAGAACGTCTGTGGTACAGGTGGGTCATGCACACATTGGAACCGAACCTCTCGCCCCAATTTCTGATCTACACCCTTCCTTTGGACATATCGACCGCCTAGGGTACTTGCGCCGAGATATCCTAATAACCAACGGTTTGATGAGTGATAAGAATGACCCCGAAGGCGCCGATAAATGGCTTTTAGCAATTGTTCATTGGGCAAGGTAAGTCTTCATTGTTATTTCAAGTCATTGTTGTGACTGATACTGACTGTTCCCACACAGGCAGGGCATGCGAATGGTGTCAGTTTCCCTCTTGCCTGAGAATACTCATATGTCTTGGCAGACTGAGTGGATGGCAGAGGTGCTGGTATATCAAGATAAAAAGAAACCCAAACCTTACACTGGTGGCCTTCTCTCTGATGTCACCTATCAATTTTTCGAAAACGGCTACCTCTTGACAACATCGATGTACAACGACAAGATTGAAAGATGGGTTCCTGTCCTGCAAACTTGGCTCCACAAACTTAGCAGGAGTCACTACAAGGCCCATTTTGTGACTTTATTACGACAAATTCAACAATCCTCCCTCTCTGAGAAAGACAAGGGCCTCTTGTGTGAACAAGTTGTCGACTTCTCACAAGCTCAAAAAGTGGGCTTCATAGACGCTTACATGGAAGTTTTCAATGTCTACGATTGCGTCTACGATTGCAACATCGCACTTTTGAAGCTACACGGTTGCGAGCAACACTTTTTGCAGGCAATAAACCGCATCAAGAAGAATTCCTCAATAGTTAAGCCACATTTAAAGGTGATTTCATTTCCGAAGTTTTTATAATACTGAAATAATATTCTTACTAATCATGATGTTGTCATTTCCTTAGGGACTTTGGGTTACGAAATGTAAAGCATTTCTTTTACCAGATGAACCAGATAAAGACCTCGACTCCTGATTTGAAGAGTTGTGCCGTCTTTTTCCAGCCGCCAAAAGATGGATTGCCTGGTGGCAAACAGCTGACACTCAAGCGATGTTATTTCCAGCTTGGAAACAAATGGATCTAGATGATCCTCCTTTGGACAGAGAGGAAGTGGAATCTGATCCAAAAGGCAAGTGCGGCAAGAAGAATAAGAAGAATAAACCACAACGTAGAGCTGAATTGCCATCGACTACCAACGCGCAGGAGTCAATGCATTGCGTCTATTATATGCTCTGGTACATACAATTTTTTTGTTTTTATTAATTTCTTTTCTTGTGTTTAATGTTGATTTCTAATCTTTTGATTCTATAATTCCATTCCTTTGATCCAGTCAGGGCAAATGTACAATGATTGCTGGAATGATTCAGCTATTAGCGTTGGCACAAAGTCTAGAGCTAGATTATAGGGCCGAGAGAAAGGGGATTTCAATGGCTTATGGTTCAAGGAACAAAGGATGGGAAGCTGTGGTTGAATCATTGGGGACGGTCAGACCAACCAAACGCAAATACCAACCGAACGACGGCCGTGCTCCCGATACAACTGAAGAACAAAAGATGAAAAACCAAAGGCCCTGGTCGACCAAAGGGATCTCAAAACATCATACAACACGCCCTAACAACATACCAATCTTATATGAAAGGCACTACTACAGGCACATTTAATCAATGCTGGCTCTCGTCCACCTTGGAATCCCTCTATGCATTGTCTGGGCCCTTACAAGGTCAATTCGCCACAGTCAATGGCAACAATTTATTCACGGTACTCATGCGACATTTCACAAAGCGGTGCAACACGGAACTGAATGAACAATCAAGTCTTAGCAAGGTTCTTTCACAAGGGCAAACACTTTTGCATGAAGCAATACTAGATATGGACGACTGGGCCAAGGTTGCATACAAGTCAGATGAACCCGCCTCTGCTGACGGTTTTATGCAACGTCTAATGCAGGATGACACACCCAATCAACCTTCTCTTGCTTGTCTATTTTTGATTCCCATCACCAAGACAGTCGTATGTACTCATGAAAGCACACATGTGGAGAAAGAAACTACCGAATCAAGGACCATGCTTCACATTACAACGTCAATGTTTAGGGATGCTTCACTTGAATACAAAGACACTGCACTCTTGATAACCACATGGGCGACCGACGGAATGTTTTATTCAACCGGCCGTGTTTGTCAAGAATGCCATCCATTGGACACGGAACAACCAAAGGACGAGGACCTTGCTAGGCTGGTTAAGTGTATCAAGCTCAATCTCACTGACGCTACAGTGGCACCTTTACATTTGTATTTTCACTTAGATGGAGTTGTGGAACTGGATGCGGCAGAGAGGAACAAATTCATGGATCAAACTGATTGGCCAGCGCGTTTTTCCATTGGTGAAGTTGATTATTACCTAGTTACGCGTGGATATTGGGCAGGTGGGCATTATTGGTGTAAAGTAGCTTGTTCAGTAGAGGGTATAATGGGTGTATGGCTTTACGACAAGCTTAGGAATGGGGGGTTTGCACAACTCATAGAGCGTGATGTAAAACTTCTGGCCGGGTGTGACCGTCACACCTCCTGGGTATGCTACTCACGCATGCCTTTCGACGACGAAAGGGCTCTCCTGAAAACTTCTATCATTGAACTGATGAAGAAGTTTCCTCAGCGACATCACAAGATATCTTTTTCAATGCCAAGCGATGAAATGCCATTTGGAGGCGGCCTGCCTGATCTCAAAGACGAGATTGATACTGAAGTTGAAGAAGAAGATACTGATCTTCCTTCTTTATCTGATCACAAGGAGTCACCACAGCCTAATCCTCTGGAAATAGGACTCAACGCTGCTGATCACAAAGTAAAAGTAAATCCTCCCATCAAGATCAAAATTAAAATGCCGCTCGTTTCTTTATCATTTTATAAACTGAGTGAGATAGGTTTTTTGACATCTTTTTTTTCGCCTCATTCCAAGAGCAGCGCAAAACAAGCGTGAGGCAGCAGCTGAAAAACGCAAGGCGGCTGCAGAAAAACGCAAGGCAGAACAAATTGAGACCACGGTTAAACCTGTAAGTGGACACGTTGATATTTAGTTTGCAAAGCATTGATAGAATTGTTTATCTCAACAGCTGCCAAAGAGAAACGTCAGGCTGCGGCTGAAAAACACAAGGCTGCTACAGACAAACGCAAGGCAGCCAAGGCAGCAGCAGCAGAAATGAAAGCACCTTCGAAAGAGGCTAACACTGGAAAGAAGGCTGGAAAGAAGGCTAACACTGGATAGTCCTTATCTTCCTCAACTTCTTCAAATTTCCGACTTTTTTTCCTTTCCCATCACACTTCTGTTTCTTTGTTGGCATCAGACTCACTCGCTTCAACTCTATCTCTTTTCCATTTTTTCCATTTGATCCACGCTCCTTAATTTGTCTTTCCGTCCGCTGTATTCTCTCTCAAGCCGCAAGTATTGTTGTTTTTTTGTGTAAAGATTTATTCTTGTGTAAACTTTACGGTGCAAAATCCCATTTCACATGGGGCAATTGGCATTTTTGCATTGACACTTTTTAAACCGACACCCTTTCAGTGTTTAGGTTGTCGGTGCAAATATGGTGAAAGACAGTCAGTGTAAAGGACATCGGTGCAAAATTCGACATCAGTCCAGGGTCCAAGAATTTTACACTGAAGAAATTTACACTGCCTGAGTCTGTGTAAAGCCTTCGGTGTAAAATTGAATCTTGCAGCCGGGTTCAAGATATTTGCACTGACTCTTTTGCACTGACATTTTTCACACAGAATAAAAAAATGAAATATGTGTAAAATTCTAGAAATGCATGGATAATTTTGAATTTTACACAGACTTCTTTTTACACTGACTTAGTCGGTGTAAAGTACCCTGTGTGGAAGTGCCCCTCCCTGTATATAAAGAGCTCCTCAAGTTAGTAAGGGAATTCAAGAACTTGGGAAACTCTAAATTCAAAGGAGTTCCTGTGTGTTCAGAGTTTAATGAACTTCAAATATCACTAGGTGATATTTCCCTCAATTAACAAGCTCTAGAGTAGAGTGTTGTTAGCTTGGGCACAGAATTATAATCACCATGCCCGTGTGGTGTTTGCTCATCGACGAGCGCGCACGAGTCGCCTTTGTGCCTCAATGGGAGTTCGTGTGCGCTCGTCGTCAGGCGACTGCCACAAGGACATGGTGAATGTAGTTTTTACTCTACATCCTGGTAGAAGACTATTTGTCTTGCATTAATTCCTGGATTTGTATCCAAACCCTATGTTAAAAGGTCATCTAACTGAAGTCAGTGCTGATTTGATCCCACTACTTCTTAGCAAACCTTGTTTGTGAAACTTAAAACAAGGTTCTCACGCGCTTAATAAACTTAGTTTAATATTCCACCATTTTCTTTAGTGGTTTACTAGCCTAAAAGATGCTACACTACAAGAAAGATAATATTTTCTGGGCAGAAAATTAAATTATTGATACACAAAAATATTGAGAGGCCAGGAGGAGAGCAAAAAATGAATAAAAATATGCATCTTGTTCCCTGCGTTGAGAACTTCACTCTGCATATTTTTCCGTATTTTTACAGTCCATATTGATAAGTGTACTAACAATAAACCTTCATAATCATCCAATTACAACCTGTATCAAGCACTGAAATTTGGCTCATTAGTGTTTAGAGAAACTTTTGATTTCTGAAAATACTCATAAATTTTTCAATTCCGGTCCAAAACGCTCGATTTTGGGTGCATTGGTAAGCTGGAATTGTCCTCCAAATAGTTCATAATAGGACCACACAGCATGCTGGTCTGCTAAAAAAGATATCATCTTTTTTATACATTTGTACATACAGATCCATAGAATGATTGTCATACTAGCTACATAGTTCTTGATCTTATGAAAGTCCGAGAGGAAGAGTTCAGCTTTCAAATGCACTTGATATCGAGTGTTTTGAAGCAGATTTGACAAAATGATAGGTGTTTTCAGAAATCATAAGTTTCTCTAAACACTAATGAGCCAAATTTCAGTGCTTGTTACAGGTTGTAATTGGATGATTATGAAGGTTTATTGTTAGTACACTTATCAATATGGACTGTAAAAAGATGGAAAAATATGGAGAGTGAAGCTCTCACCGCAGGGAACAAGATGCATATTTTTATTTATTTTTTGCCCTTCTCCTGGCCTCTCAATATTTTTGTGTATCAATAATTTAATTTTCTGCCCAGAAAATATTATATTTTGTGTAGTGCTAGTAGCTCACGGAATTGCTATCACAATATTTTGTAAACCAGTCCTGGGTCAGACAAAAAGAGACTTTGTTGTGAATCTCAGCTCCATAAATCAAGAGTCCCATTTGCAATCTCTGTTACTATTAATCAATGGGTAATTGAATTGAAACTAAAATACCACAGGATAATTTGTACCAAGGTTTAATGAGTGGCAGTACCCAAGGGCTCAACGGTACCACCTATTTCCACAATACAAGTGGACTATGGGTGAATGAAAAGAAGTATCCTTATAGTGAGAGACACTTCCCCCACACTTGGTAAGAGCCATTCAGGCTAAGGATATTCTCCTCAACCTTGAAAATTGTCTTCATACATCAATTCCTCCATATCCGCAATCCCATGCTTGTATCTGTTCATCCTCACTAGATCCTTTCTACCTTTCACAGTACAAGCTAATTAGCTTGCAGTTTTTTTTTTGAATAAGACATCACTGTCTATATTTCATTAATGTGAAGAATCTCATTCATCACTTAAATTATGATAATTCCTACAAAAATCAAAAGTTCTTTCACTTAGAAGATGTATAGCACAAACAAGAAGGCTACCAATGCAGAAAACTTCAAAGAGATGATGGGAAGGACTAGCAATAGGCTAAGAGGTGGCTCCGTCCCTCTGCCTGATTCAGATATTGCTGTACCAACTCCTGCAGTTGCAACTCACTGTGGCCGTGATAGGAGATGCACTTGTGGAGACCCTTCCACCCCTACTGGAGGCAATTCTCATGGTTGTTACCTTGATCAAACCTGGAGAAGGACAAAATGCAACACCCAACTTACCAGCTATCAATGGACAGACTAGTGCTTCACCAAATGCTCAGGATCCGCCAAACATACCGGTTACTTCAGGTACAGATTCCGTCGGTTTGCTGTCAAGAGAAAATGTCAATAATGTAACAAAATTTAAGCCACAACATTTATGATTACTACAATGAGTGATGCTGCATATAGCCAAGTTTGGGACAAATCTACACACCATTGGTGATTCTACTTCACCACAAGTGCAGCCTCATGTATTGCGATTTGTTCCTAAGGAAAGGTTTAACTAAATATATTGTGATTCCCTTCCTTTGTGGAGTTTGTTCCTCCACACAATAGCCGAACCGCTCCGCCATAACTGGTGGAAGCGGAGCGATTTTTGGGTGCGCCACGCACTCCGCCTTCCATAGCGGAGCCTGCACAACGCACTCCAGGGCCGAGGTTTTTCATAGCGGTGCAATCGCTGCGCAACCTGGCCATGGAGGTATTGCTCCGCTATATAGCGGAGCAAATCGACCCAGTACAGGGTTGCTGAGGTTTTCCGAGCAATTACAGGGTATTCAATTGAATACATACCTTCCCAGCCAACCGATCAGGCCTTCGCGCCACACTAGACCAAATCAAACGTGGATGACTCAGTTAGGCCGCAGGTGTTCTTCTTTTTATAATTTTGATATACATATACAGAAATCGTTAAATCTAGAACCAAATCCGATTCCTCTGATGCTTTAACTCCTGATCAAATAATTCTCTTGAAAATGGAATCAAAATCATGGTATGTGGAATGCCAAATATAGGAGAATCTAGTTTATTAAACGCTGTAGGATGTAGAAAAGGTAAATACAAAAAAACTCTCTCCCTAAAAAGGATTGATTCTTGAATTCAAAAGCTAACTGAAAAACGGTTCTTTTTGCATTTTATATTTTGTATTTTTGTATCTTGTATTTTTATAGGTAAAGTAGCATCAGAAGGACCCATGCCTGGTCACACAAGATCAATAGGACCGCTTGTTAAGATTTCAGAACCATGTAAACTTTTGAATGGAAAACCGATTTTGTTATATCTTTTGAAAGTTTTTAGGGATGGGAAATTTGGGAATTGGACGTTAAATGCGTTTCAAAAAATTCAAACTCAAACTGCAGGAGAAGGAGAAGCAGAAGAAAAGACTTTTGTACATACTGATTTAAATTCACGTGTGGTTGTTAAAGTTTCAAAGTTTTTGGGTTTTTGAATCGATCAAATTCAATCTCAAACTTCAATTCAGATGACAGAAAGAAGAAAGATTAAAGAAATTCAAGGATCTCAATCATTAATAAATTTCCAAAAACGTTGATCAAAACGATAAAATCTAGAATCAAATTGTAAATGGAAGAACCGGTTGGCTTACCTGTGGTTTACTGTAGCTCGAGTTCTTATAAGATGTGTCGATTTTTCTCTTATTCTACGAATTTAAATCTATTGACAATAAAATCAACTAAAGTTTAATATAATAAAGACAGACGGTCAGTCTTTAATAATCTTGTAATTTCATTCTTTTTCATAGTTTCTTTTATTTTTCTTTTGGATTGTTTCTACTCGATTGCTACAAAAGTGTTTTGTGAAATCCAAACTTTCCTTTCACTCAGTTTTCACTCACGTAGCGCGCTATATAGGGCATATATAGTGGTATGGACCGCTCCACCCTCGTGAGTTTTTTTCTTGGCCAAATAGCGCAGCCATGAGTGCGCAGCCTCATAGCGCAGGCTGCGCACCAGTATGGAGGATGCCCAAATTTTATGGCATAGCGTAGCGATTCGGGTGTTGCTCCACATGCAGAAATACATTTACAGTAGTGAGTGAAAGTCCTCCTTGTGGGTTTCATTCTTGGTTGATTTCAAAAAACACTTCCTATGTACCAGCTCTTCACAGCATCACAACTGTCCTTAATAGTTAGATCATTGCTCTAACTCCAGTAGTTTGCTTGTCAGGCACAGTCCCTCAGTTGGTAAAAGACAAAAGTTGTTCCTAAGAAATTTGTCAAGAAATTAGACCTGAAAAAAGACAACAAGAATTCTGTTACTGCCAAGAAAAAGAAGGTCGCATTTGGTGAAGCAGGAATTGACACGGATGGTTTGGTAGCTCCCACCGTGTTCTTGTGGCAGTAGCCCAACAATCAGAGGCACATGTACTGCCTTTGAAGTACAAAGGCAACTCGTGTGCACTTGACAATGGGAACACACCACAGGGACATGATGTCCGTTGTGCTGATCAATTTAAGGGATCAATCAAAAAATTCATTATTAGTAGTTTACCAGTTTATTAGAAAAGTTTAGTAGGTCAGAAAATTCAAAATGGAGGTTTTTGGATCAATTGAAGCTCTTATAGGCTTATGTATTGGTCATTGGGTGAACATTGCATCATTTTATTTCACATTACTTATCAAGATCATTGGAGTTTATTCACAAAGTTATTAAAAAAAGTAAGAAAGAAAAACATAAGAAAAATTCAAAAATATAGGTATAGAGGTTGGAAAATGTTTTTTAGGGTATTAATAATAGAGTTATGGGTATTATGAGGTTGGAATATGAAAGAACAACATTATATTATACTGTAACAATTTTAATCTTGAAGGTTGATAAGAAGAAACAGAAGTTATTAGAGAAAAGGTACTTTTTCGAAGTTGGTAAACAAGAGGTATACGTGTAGTTTGCATATGTAATGGTGGTAATAGTGTGATTTAAGGTTGCCAAGAGGATTTTCCGGGATTTTTAAGGTTATAGAGGATGATTTCATATTACATGAGCAAGAAAAAGGGAGTAGCAGCTGTGAAAAGTGAAGACAATGGGTAAATTTCGTCAAAAGTGAAGGTTTTCAGCTTATTACATATTGTATCACATTTCACTGTGTTCTTCATCGACGTGAGAGCCTAGAGATCCATTGCTGAAAGTTATATAGTTATGGTTATCATTCTTAAAACTTCTTAAGTGTAAATGGGGGTAAATGATGGGTAATGTAAATCAAAGTTGCCTTTGAGATACGTACTGATACACTGCTAACCTTTTGACGGGCCACAATGCACCTCTGGGTTTGGGGGGTAATAGTTTATACAAAGAGTCACATTACAGTGCGCTTTTTTTTTTTTTTTTTCGGAGACGCACCCCGGGTGGCGGAGCCACCCGGATATTCCTTGTGGGTAGAATATGCTTGAACAAGTGATCTCTTCTTAGAACCCAGGGGCATTCTAATATCACAGTGTTACTTCATACGTCCGAGGATGAGCTTTTAATTACGGAAACACTCATCCCACGGCTCTAAAGGGGAATCAACCCTTAGAGCTGCCTTTTACAAAGGCTGACGACTCCAGACTTTTACTGGGTAAACTCCCTTTCCACAGCGCGTGATGTTGCCATAGACCTTACAGTCCCTCGGCCATTTGTAATAATCACAAAGGATGTGACATGAGCGTATTTATCACATCATGTCTACCAAAGTGTTTGCAATTGGTGTAGGCTTATGAATATCCTTAATTGATTCTTGGTATAACCCAAAAACCGTTTTCAGGTATCTTGCTACGGGGACAAATCCATACAACGCCATATTTTCCGGCTGGATACCGGTTATGTGACCATACCCGTGCTGCCACAGAAACATGAACCTTTCACTGGGGCTCATTTTCCACAACTCTCTCTCCAGACATCCCACGATAGGCCCTGAGGCGACACACATGCCTCCCAACAGATACGTAGTTACTTTCAAATCCCTCTTATTTATTTCACCTGCATCTCCCACTTCTTTAGTTTTGCGGAGCTGTTTAATGATAGCTCCAAGATGTTCTTTTCTTTGGTTTTTAAGAGCCACACAATTGAGAAGTATGTGTGATACTTCATCTTCTTCTTTCATAGTTTCACCTGATCTTCTTTGTTGTTTACAAAGTGGGCATGCAGCTCTTCCTAGTGTTTGTGCAGTAGCACTAAGTGTATCTGCCTTTTCCTGAGCATCATATTCTGAAGTTGCCAATGGCAATATGCCAAGTCTTGCTTTTAGTAATGTTAATACTCCATCTTTCAGATATGGGTATCTGAGTGCTGTTTTGTGAAAGTTTCTGGTTAAGCCATACTCACAGTTTTCATATTCCATTTGTGTCAATGGTCCTTGTAGTTTATTTAGGGTCATTTCTTTTGCCCATTGGTATGCTTTGACTGCAATCATTTCCTGCTGTATTTCAAAGACAGCATCATCTTCACCATGGATATTTATCCATGTTTCTGGTATTTTCTTGGGATAAGCTAAGGCTTGTGCGCGCAGTCCCTTAATAATCATGGGCGGAATGTTCAGCTCCTTTGTTTCTCCTTCTGGAGTTGGTTGTGGTTTGTCTTTTGACATTGCATTTACTGCTGCTATTGCTCTGGTTATTGACACCCAGGTTTTCTTTCTACTGCCTTGGCCTTGATTGCACAGGATGTCAGATGCATCTGTGTCCATGGATGCTGATTTAGCGTGTATACGGTATCTAGCAGCTGCACACGCAGCTGCCACTGAAGGAACACCAAGTTCCCATGAAAGTCTCACAGGGCATATTGTTTTACAGCCCCATTTTTCACCAATGGCAAGGTATAGTGCTCTGTCCACTTCTTTTTGGATGACTGCTGTTCTTGTTTGGTTCATCCCAATCCATTCCCCTCCCTAGAGAGCTGCTGCTAATACATATGTTTTTATGAGAAATGATTTTTCTGCTATTGTGCGCTTAGTATCTCTGATTAAGCATGATTGTTGGCCCACTTTTTGAGAGACCTTCTTTGCTAGTGTTTTTGAATATGCTAATTCATTCTCATATCCTATTCCAAGGTTGTCACCTATGTCTATGCCTAGGTATTTGTAAGATGACTGTGCATATACTTTGCCGTCTGTCAGGTTGAAGTGACTTTTGTTGTCATTGGGGAATTCTGAGGGGTCCCCATATTTGTTTAAGAAAGCTTGTCTGAGCTCCGGATCTTTTTCTCCGTGCATAACCACTGCACATTTTGCGTGTCCTATTTTGAGGGTCTGCCACTTAGTGACCCATTCTGTAATCAGATTGCAACCTTTTTGAAGATCTTCAAGGTTTTCAAAGAAAGCTGCAGCATCATCTGCATATAATTTGCCTTTGTCATTGTAGCGGCCATTTTCAATTGGGTGGGAGAATTTTACACCAAGCGTTTTACACCGGGTCAGTCGGTGTAAATTCGGTTTGGTGTAAAATTACCAAATAACCCACTTATTTGGTAATTTTACACCGTTCCAGTTTTTTTTTCGTCAGTGTAATAAATTTATGTGTGAAATATTAGGTGTAAAAATCTTGTGACCGGTTGGATTATTGACTTTTACACCAAAGAATTTACACCATTATTCTCGGTGTAAAAATATTCGGTGTGATAGTCTCGGACCCGGTCATGAATTCGAGTTTTACACCGAGCTGACTTACACCGGGTCCATTTGGTGTAAATAATCTCCATGTAAAATTGTAATTCCACCACATCGATCTTTAGTTTCACACCGACCCGTATTACACCGCACAATATCTCAATATTCGTCCACATATCACCCAAACATCAGATGATATGCTTCCTGATACGTCCAAATAGGCCAAAAGTGATGAACTATACCACATATCAGCACGCAACGGCCACATATTCGTGAGACTGTTGCCACAATGTCAACAAAAGTTTTGTTTTTCCACAAATCGGTGATGATGTCTCCCATAGAGAGACACAGAGAGGGATGACACGTACCCCTAATCCATTCGAGGCTCTCCATCAAGGCTCTATAGAAGCAAGATGGATGAAGCGCGGTCAAGCGTAGCCATTCTTGATGACCAATCAATACGGATTGATGTTGATGAAGAACAATCATTTCCGATTGATGATGATTCCACAACATCAATCAAAGAAGCCAGTGTTCCGATTGCTTCAGCTTCACAATCATCTAGTCTTCATCATCATAATTCTTCTATTGAAGATATACCATCAACACCTGTGGCGCGCCTTTTCATCGACGTCGAAGTCGATGAAAACTTGTACAATTTCATCGGTCCGGAAGCCGATTGTTTGCCCTAGATCACTCAGGTGAGCTAGAACAATAATTCTACACACATTTTCACACCTCTAAGTTCCTACCCATCCACAATTTTTTTTTACATGAATATGAACACTTATAAGTGTCATTTAACATCTTTCAACTCAGTCTCAATGTCCAAAATTTTGGACACCAAGGTACTCAGATCACTTAGACTGATCTGAGTGAAGTTAGATCAAATCGAGCGCGCTCAGATCGATCTGACTACTCTCAGATCAATCTGAGGCCCATGCAGATCAATCTGAACTCGCTCTAGTTCACACTACACACTACCACCCACTTACCCAACTACATACCCGGACTCAAGCTGACCAAACTTGAGCAAATGTGAAGGCAATGCCCTCGACTCAAAGGCGACTCAAAGTATCTCGACTCAAAAGCCCTTGACTCAAAGTATCTCGACTCAAAAGCCCTCGACTCAAAGACATCAACATCAACTCACGTTGTCCTACTCGTATGTCATCTACTGAATTGGTTTCTTTAAACATCACTCACCTCACCTTACACCTGACAAACAACTTCAAGCTATCATATTCGATTTCAAACTTCAATTTGGTCTCACACTCCAAGCTATGATATTTGATCTCAAATTCAATTCGATCTCAAAGTCAACAAACAAGCTCAACCCATCATATCTTATCTCAAACTTCAAGCTATCATATTCAATCTCAAACAAGTTCAAAGTATCATATTTCATCTTCAAATTTATCAGAATGTCACAATCACAACCATTACTGCTTTCACTTTACTTCGGAATAACACGTCTTATACTTTTATGAATTTATATTGCAAAGTGAACATCTTAATGTTGTATTCTGTTCATTCTCATCAACAATTGTAAAAACAGATATAACTCATGTATAACAAATCAAACAAACGAAATGAAATAATGATGAATGGGAATTCTAACACATCTCTACCCTTGTGCCCAATATGCATCTGTGTTATAAACTTCATCGGGATCACCAACTTCAGGCCCCTAATCCTCCATGTATCGATCAGTGATATCCTCGGGCTCATCAATTCCTTCCGCTGTGAGTATTGGAGCTGCGACAATACCTTCCCATAACTGACGGCTGTTATTGACAATACTATTCCATTTTGTCATCAGTGCGCTTTCCTCTTCCACTGATAATTCGCTGTGCTGCAAAGTACCAGAGGTAACCGTTTGTATCCCCCGATTCCATTCCATCCACAATCGGCAATGTGTTTGATCTAGGTCTGTCAGTAAGGCCTTGAAAACGTGTTTACTCTCAGACAAGCGGTCATCCCCACGACGAGTCTCCAAATTTAAGATCTCCATCATCCATTTATTTTGCTCAAGATCCAGTGATTCATCTTATCAGATGTGAAATTACGATGAAAATTAGTCTCACACACTAAATCATCATTAAGAGTGAATACATACCTTCACCGTGGACGATTTCCCTTAGATGTGAAATCTTCTCGTATGTGTCGCTGGACCAGTTGATCAACTGCCTACACTCGCGGGCAATTCTACGTAGCTCATCCTTGGCATGAGTCATGTTGAGGTGGGCTTTTATTCCATCCTGTACCCTTGGATCGATTGCCCAGGGCTCTTGTGGATGGGTGAGTCCACCAAAGTCCCAGAACGGGTGGTCAATTGCCATCGCTTTCACCTCATCAAAGGTCAGGGAATCGATTGGATTTGGACCATTTGGACCCGAAAAAGCCGTGTTGAACGCTAGGACTTGACGCTGAAACGTCAGGTATTTCTTTTTGAGATCTGCTTCTTTGGCCTTCAGCAAACGCTGATGCCTCTGTAAATGTCGTGTTCCTGATGATTATGAGACCGATGTTCTCATAAGTTTAAAGATGAGAATTGGATGAAGTCTTGGATTGCATACCGGCTCTCATGTTGGCTTGTTTTGCCTCTTCCAAAACACCAACCTTAGCCTCGTACAACTTTCCTTTTGATACACGTAAACGGATCATAGCCTTCCCTTGTTTGGCTACATAGATCAAATCACTCCCGTCAGTCAAATCCATCAAACAAATATGCATGTTTGTACCCACATGAAGCGCCTGGGATGTTGCGGAATTCTTCCGCACCAAGCTCATCAACTACACTGTCTATCTCTTCCTCAAGCATGAGCAACGAATCTGCAGTCCGCATAAGACCATTGTCGTCTGCGTGTGTTCAATTGCGACGCCGCTTCCGTCGAAGTTCTGTGAACTCTTTTCTGTAGGGAGAATTCTCTCAGTCTAAGATGTTTGGTATAAACATGTGTCTTTTAAGGTACGTACTGTTTAGATTGCAGGAATTCCTCGAGTTCAATCAAATGAGTAAGTTTCTCGGTCAACGCTTGGGTGGATTCAGTGCAGAAAGCTTGAAGCTGACATTCACGCTGTCTCTCCTATTGAGCTGTGATGTATTCAAGATTGTAATTGGGAAGCAAGAGAATCTGATTCAACTTTGACTGACTCTCTTTAAAGAGGTTCATCATCTCCTTCATACGTCGTATCATGGACTCAACTACATGTATTTAACTAGATCTTAGTTTGAGCACCATGTTTAAATATTGGTCAAGTACTCACCACTTTTGGACCTGGCCAGCTCGGTATGGAATAGCGCTTGCAGGTGCAACGCCCACAATCTGTGTTCTTTGGTTGCATATCGCAACGGGGCAATTAGCTCCATCAAAGCGGACCAGATCCGCTCCATCCCTTCTCCATCAGACATTCCCCAATCTGCATTCAAGCGGGGATTGTATGATATTTGACATGAGCGGATGTGAGCATAGGAATGCCACGCTCCTGTTCCAAACATTAATCGACCATCACTACGTTCTTCATTGAATAGATTACGCTGTGGTTTTCGGTGCTGGATTTAACATTGATATTAAACTAAAATAATTAGCTGACACTCACTTTATTGATAACTTTCTCAAGGTTACACCCAATATCATAGAGAATCGCCAGTTTCCATTTGGCTTCTTCTTCAGATTCACACTGCTTGAGCATCCAGTCCATCATGGCCATTGGAAAGTGGTTCCTTCAAATGATAAACAGAATTTAATGAAATGAAAAATCAATCAATTGGAGGAAACAGTACTCACCGTTCCCCACTCTGTATAATGTTGATGAACTTCAAGACATGATTGTGTCGACAAGCCATCCCAAACAAGCCCGTTTCATCACAACCACGCCAAGTTTGAGCCCCTCGCGCATCATCAGCTGCAGTGTGACTTGCAGTACACGGATCCTACATCATAACCATCAATTATTGGTAACGAGAGAGGCATTTGTTCAAGACACTGACCACTGATTTATTTGTAACACTCCCATCCGTGTTGTTCACTAGATTTTGCCATCTATCAATATCATCTTGAGGAAGAAAGAGAGAAGGGATTTTCGGCATCTCACGCAATCCAGCACTGGCGGTGGTATGCCGTCGATGCTGGAAATTCCCATCAAAACATACTATTGCATCAGGTTCGGATTCACGTTTTCCTTTCACAGTTGGTCCAAAGCATCGGGGGCAGTTTGATGCCAACCTTTCCCGCTTAGTAAGCTTCAATGCCTTGATTTTAAGCTCTTCCTTCAAATTCAACATCTCTCGGTATGCATCAACAGCAGCCGAGAAAAGTTTTCGCCATTCACGAGTCTACAGTGCATGCATACGTAAGTGAGCGCTTCATGGAATCATCTAAGGACTTGAAATTGGACTCACTCGATCTCCACCCGAAGAAAGTATGATGGAGTTCTTACCATCTAGGAATACGTCAATAGCTCGGCAAAAAGGCTCGATTCGAACTCGACACAGTTTCCACATTATATGATAAAGTCTTAATAGTCTGATAGAAAAGGCAGTGACAGGAGTTTTTGGAGATCCTCCAATTGATCCCATCTGGACAAGCCGGACCGAGTCCAATTGGCATGAACAGAAGACGATTTTCATTTTCTCTCGACCTAGGTAAGGGAACACTGTAAGTCAGTATATCACCCTTAACGAATGGTCAGGGTCACTGACGTAGAATATCAACGACATCGACCATCTTTTCCCGGCGTTTTGGACAATCACAAGCTGATTTTCAAATCTATATTCCAAAGTTCTTCATCTCCCCACTGAAACGTATTCTT